AAGTGGGAGAGTGCAAGGCTGGACTGTGGAACCTCTACACAGGCACACTACAGCAGCAGGGGCAATGTGTGCCCATGTCACTCTTCATCTTGTTTGACTTTTTGTCTTTGAGAATGGGGTCAGCTGTGTACTGAAGGCTGGCCTAGAGCTCAGTCAGCTTCAGCCTCCTGGACACTGACATTAAGGCATGCACCACCACACCTGGCCGTCCACGTCTATTTCAGAACTACTGAGGGAAAGAAGTTGCTAGTGTTAACATTCTGCTTCTAGACACAAAGTGGTGTGGAGGAACTTGGGATAAGGTTCTCTCTGACTGCAGTTTCACCCAATCTACCACGTTTGTTCCTGTGCTCATTTGTATCTAAGGAATTGTGCCCAGAAAGTGTCTTTCAGCTGTTTGACCATTTGTCTTTAAGAGCATTTGCTGAATTTTTTTATTTAGTTTATATTTTTTCTTTTATTGAAAATAAATGTTTTCTCACATAATAAGTCCTGATTATGGTTTCCGGTTTCCCTTACCTCTGCTACTCCCCATTTCTGCTCCACCCCTCCACTCATCTGGATCTGCTCCCTTTCTGTCCCTCATCAGCAAGCAAAACAGGCTTCCAAGGGCTAATAAGATAAAATAAAAATTAGCACATTAAAATCAGACAAAACAAACTGAAGGAAAACAGCCCAAGAGAAGCCTTAAGAATTAGAGACTCGGGCTGGAGAGATGGCTCAGTGGTTAAGAGCACCACCTGCTCTCCCAAAGGTCCTGAGTTCAATTCCCAGCAACCACATGGTGGCTCACAACCATCTGTAATGAGATCTGGTGCCCTCTTCTGACCTGCAGGCAGAACACTGAGAATACTGTATGCATAATCAATAAATAAATCTTTAAAAAAAAAAAAGAATTAGAGACTCACTCATTCCCACATTCAGAGATAACAATAAAAACACTAAACTGGAAACTAGAATCTGTACACCGAGGACCTGGTGCAGACCTGTGCAGGCGCTGTGCTTGCTGCTTGGGTCTCTGCGTTCATGTGCGTTTTCATCATGTTGGTTTAAAAGGCCTTGTTTTCTTGGGGTCCCCCATCTTCCCTGGCTCTTGTATTCTTATTTATTTATTATTTGCCGCCTCGTCTTCAGAGGCTGCAGTGGGTAGCCGAGGAGAGCTGACCATGGTTTTGATGGGGAGGAAGGCTCCTCCGTGTTACAGCTTATGACAGCAAGTGGAAAATGCTTCAGTGAGGCAGGCCAGGATTTAAAATCAGAACACAGCAATAGTCAGAAGTGCTGAAGTCAACAGACTTCTTAGAAATATGGTCACCATTTGCTGAGAAAGCCTTTCATAGTGGCCACAGACATGCACTTGCAACCACAGTGAGTTCATGTTTTCCCCTAAATGTGGGACCGTGACCTCAGCTGACGCCAGAGGGATCTGTGTACTCCAGAGAAGGGAAATTCAGTTTATGCACAGATCCGATACAAGTAGGAACCAGGCAGCAGCACCAGGGTCCAGTGGGTGTACATATTACACATAGCTTAGGTGACAGTGTGCTTGGTACCTCCTGGGGTGGCTATAAATACTTTCCTCCCTCCAGGAAAGAATGAAAAAAGAAAGATAAAAGAAAAAAAGACGACAAGAGGAACTAACTGCTAGTCTGTGGACTGGAAAGATAGGTGATATTTAGTGATCTGGACAGAGCAAATGAGGCTCTGTGCAACCTTGGGGCAAGTATTCCAGGTAGAAGAATTCCTCCCTCATAAACAGAAGAGAGATGGCCAGCTTCGTGCAAAGTGCTGCCCTCTCTGAGTCTTGTGTCTACAGTTGTAAAATGAGATCTAGATTGAGTGCGCCCAAAATATTTTTTTTATTTTTAAAATTCAATGAAATAAAGACAGGTCAAACTAGCAAAGAGAACTGGAGATGCAGTCAGCAGTGGACGTGTGTCCAGGCCTGGGTCTGATCCCTACTACGGTGTACATCAGTGTAGACAACAGGGCCCACAGAGTGCTCTGGTGTCAGGAACAGGAGGGGATTATTGGGAAAGAAATATTGGCAAGAGAAAAATATGGAAGGAAATAAGGGTCACAGTGTAGTAAAGAGGGGTGCTGGTTGCCAGTTGTCATTTCCTTCCTTGTGGGAAGGGACTCTTGACTGGAGCTGACTTCAAAGGGAGACGGACAGCGTTGCGTGACACAGGCCGCTTCACTCAGTTCTCTTTGGCTTCCGGGCAGCAGTCATGGCCACAGAGCATTCTCCGCTCTTCCAGCCTTCCATCCTGGCTGGAGGAAGTGGCCACCTCTTCTGGGAGCCCTCACCTGTTCCCACCTTGGCCATGTGAGTGCATTTCATCTGGAACTGGCTTTCCGTTGGCTCCTTCAGGAAATCACACTCAAGTTCAGCTTTTTCCAGGAAAAATGCAGGAAGTTTAGTCTCCACGGTCATTCTCAAGGGGACTGGGATTTTTATGCAAAAGTCCCGAAAGTTGGGTTCAAATGGGACAGCAGTCCCTTTATTGAGAAGAATATTGTTCCCTCTATATTAGGAAGAGACATAACTACAAAGACCTGGAGGTTCTTTTTTTTTTTAATTTATTAAAGATTTCTGTCTCTTCCCCACCTCCGCCTCCCCTTTCCCTCCTCCTCCCCCAATCAAGCCCCCCTCCCTCGTCAGCCCAAAGAGCAATCAGAGACCTGGAGGTTCGTTGAATTATGACTGCATTTCAGAGTCATGATCGTCTCAGCAGAGTAGGGGCTTAAGTAGTGAGCTAAGAAGGAGCTGTCAGGTGTAGGACTGGAGAGGTTGAGGCAAGACTTAGCTTGGCGTCAAGGGAAAGCATTGGAGAGTCTGCTGAAGAAAACCCAAGGCTTGCCTGATGTGGGAGTGTCATATCAATCTGTTGCTTTCATTGATTAATTAATAAAGAAACTGCTTGGCCTGATAGGTTAGAACATAGGTGGGTGGAGTAAACAGAACAGAATGCTGGGAGGAAGAGGAAGTGAGGCGGATGCCATGCCTCTCCTCTCCAGGGCAGATGTGATGAAGCTCCAGCCCAAGATGGACATACGCTAGAATCTTCCTGGTGGGTCACCACCTCATGGTGCTACACACATTAATGGAGGTGGGTTGATAAGGATGTGAGAGTTGGCCAGTAGGAGGCTGGAGCTAATGGGCCAAGCAGTGTTTATATGCATACAGTTTGTGTGTTGTTATTTTGGGGCATAAACTAGCCAGGTGGCTGGGAACCGGCCAGAGGCCTGCAGATCCATCAACACTTGCCAGTCCAGTGCCAAGTACGCCAAAGTCGATGAGAGGCCAACACTAGCGGTGGCAGCATTTGGAGACTGAGGTGGGGGTTCAGGGCCAGACTGTACAGCAGAGACCCAGCTTCTCACAAACTTCAGAAGCATCCATAGTTGGCCACCAGAAAAATACCTCCTGGTGTTGATACTGATGGTTTTGATTGCCAGCTTGACAAGATGGGGCTCTCAAGGTCGCTATTGTTTGCCACCATGAACCGGAGTACAGAAAATGGCTTTGTAGGCATAGTGTACTCTTAAGTTATACATTTTCAGAAATAAATGTGAGAGTCTATCGGGGTCTGCTAATGAGCACCTTTGTCTCTGTGAAATAAATACTAAGCCATCTCTTTAGTTGTGACAGTATATAGCCATTATTCTTTTTGTCTGTCTGTCTCCCTCCCTATTTCTCTCCTTTCCTCCATACCCCATCCCCACCCTGTGTCTATTTTTTGTGTTTTTTTCAAAGGTTTTTTTTTTTAAGTCTAAGCATACAATGGCATGATAGTTTATTCCTATGACCCCAGCACTCAGGGACAGAGGCAGGGGGAATTGTTGGGAATTTGAGGACAGCCTGGACTACATAGAAAGTTCTAGGTTGGTTATAGTGTATATGAGACCCTACCTCAAAAGTCCCCCCACAAAAAAAGCCCAGTCAACAAACTAGTGTATTTAGTATATGTTAACTGTTCCAGATACCAGCAATTTCCCATTAGTGATGCAGTTGACAGCTTTATCCAATTTATTATTTGTAGATGCTGAGTTCAGTGGAGATCGTGCAAAAGGTGGAGCTGACAAGCTCCCTTGGTGGCTTTAAGACAAACATTTAGATATTCCCCTCTGTCATTATGGTTTACTTTTCCCCAACATTTGTTTTCCATTGTCTGGTAGAAGAAAGCAGCACATGCTAAAGGAAATCAGGTACATGTCAGGTCTGAAATGATGCCAGAACTCTCCCCTTAGCTGTGTTGCTATCAGGTACGAATACATTTTGATTCAGAACTTTTCTGAAGACCTTGTGCATTGTATTGCAACATCTGCTTCTACATTTTAATTTCTCTCCTTCCTTTTATAGATATTTGCATACTTTTTTTTTCCAAATGAGACCTTTTGTTTGCCACAAGAAAGCTATTACCCAGAATGTTGATGGGTTTTCAGCTATTAAGATGTAATGTATACTTAACTATAAATTTGAAAAGTCTCCATGAACAATCTCAAAGGAATACTCAGAATGCACTCCTGGTAAATTGGCTCATTTCCCTGTAATTTACTGGAAGAGCTGATAGGAGAGGAATCCTAATGTGAAAAGCACATTAATCCCTGGAGTTATATTGTGTGGATTAAATTATTGCTCTCAAAGAATACAACGTATGAGGCCATTTAGCCCTCATTCACACTTGTTATTTAGAGTCACAGTAGAAAAACAACCACTTACCTTTTGATGCACAAAATTAGAACTGATACATTTAATATTATTTTAAAACGAGGCAGGAAGAGTTGCAGTTTTGCATAAGAATTGCTCTTTTCTGAAACAAGGACTGTGTCCCGGAGTAGCATAGAGGTCGGTAATGAAGCTTCTTTCTTCTCCCCTGAGCATCTGCCACCCTGGGCATTGCTAGGTAAGGTGGCCAACTTGCAGGAGCTACAGCTGCAGGGACATTTGGGGTCTTATTTGGAATTTCATCTAACCTTTTCTTTTTCTTTGCCAGGGAACTGGAAGTTGTGGAAACATTGCTTGTGAGAGCAGGTGCTTCTTATTTGGTGAGCCAGCCATCTGCGATGCCAAATGAGTAGAGGAGACCGGAAGCCTCGGCCAAGATTCATCAAAGCCACCAACCACGTCCTGCGCCATGGACACAAAGCTGGACCCTGCCCGGGATGATCTGCCTCTCATGGCCAACACCAGCCACATGCTGGTGAAGCACTATGTCCTGGATCTGGATGTGGATTCTGAAAGTCGAGTCATTGAGGGCACCATAGTTCTTTTCTTTGGAGATGGAAACAGATTTAAAACACAGGCAGTTTCCTCCCAGGACACCATCCAGATGGAGTCAGAGAAAGACTATACTTTTAGGACAACGGAACCCTGCCATGTGCCCAAGATGGATGCAAGTACCTTCTCACCTCAGATGGGGTATAATGAATGTGCAGTCTGTGGTAAAGGTGATCAAGATGCCTTTGATAACGATGGTAACCATGACAACCGGGAATGTGATTCTGAGATCTCTAGCTCAAAGTACTGCTGTGACACAGGGAATCATGGGAGAGAGGATTTCTTGCTCGTGTTGGACTGCTGTGATCTATCTGTGCTAAAGGTAGAGGAGGTGGATGTGGCTGCTGTGCCAGGCCTTGAGAGATTCACAAAGGCTCCCAAGCTCGCAGCCACTCCTGAGAAGCTCAGGCGTGACATTGTCCGTGACCTGGTGGCTCTGCCTGCAGATGCATGGAGGGAGCAGTTCGACTGGTACGCTCGCTGCAGCCAGGCTCCTGGATGTGGGGAGCTCTTCTTTGACACTGACAGTTGGAGCTTACGGATCAGGAGGACGGGGGCTCAGACAGCTGCTGACTTTCCGCATGCCATCAGGATATGGTACAAAACTAAACCTGAGGGGCAGTCAGTGACTTGGACCTCAGACCAGGATGGCAGGTAGGTCATCCAGTGCTTCCTGCCCCTTATCTCTTGCACTTCAGGGTTGCTCTCTAAGAAGAGACTGAGTCTGTGGGGGTGTTTCTGCTTGTCCTGTAGCCTTACCCAGACAGACTCAGCACCAGACAGCAGGTAAATCCTACAGTATGCTGAACTGTTGTCAAGATCACCTCCTGTAAATTAGGATGAAGAGATCCCTTGATTTAGTTCCAACATTGCTGAGTTAGGAGCTTGAAATGTTAGCTTGCTGCTGAAGTGCTGAGCCTGGCTGTTGGTTGGGATCACTGGTGGTGACTTCTAAGGCTGCCTTTGGAGTGGTGCATCTCTGAGCAAGTGCTTTCTCAAAGTATCCTGAGATCTGCTCTGAGACTGGATGGGTGTGAAGCTAGGGCAGCCATGCTGTGACTTTCGCTGGACTTGGCCGGTTGTCACTGCATGTGAACCTCCAGTGCGTTAGAGAGCTGCTTCTGGGGATTAAAGCGGTCAGACCTGTTGAACTGCAAACCGATTTCTTGGGCTGTGGCTCTTGGTTTCTGGGAGTAAAAGATACCTGATTCTTCCAGTCAGGGAAGTCAAAGAATCCCCTCGGCCTTGTCTTACTGACTTTTTAGAATCTTTTGAGAATTTCTAAATCAAACTTTGTTGGTTGTGCGAGTCAGCCTGACGAATCACTGAAGAGGTGGATAGAGGTTCACTCATCTGTTAGCTGCTCTTGAGAGGATTCTCTCAGAACGTTGGCCCCTTTGGTGGAAGTGGCGGTCTCTGGCAATTCCCTGCATCTCTTCTTCCTCACCCTACTCCTCAAACCCGGTAAGATTTGCTCTGAAAGTGCCGCTTTGACATTGAGCTCTAATTAGCCTGTCCCTTGCTCACGATCTTCCCTCTTGCTCTGGTTTCCAGGTGGCTCAGTGGGAGTTTACTTTTTGCCTCATGTCTCTGGGAGTTTGAGGAAGGCTTTGGGAAGAATTGCAGGGTTGGCACAGAGTTCCATGAATACAAAAGCATAGCAATTATTTGTCGTTACCTTACTGGGCTTTCGGTGGAGACTGTGAAGGAGCAACTTCTTATTGTGGCTTCCAAGTTTTTAGAATTACTGAAGATTTTCACCAAGGTTAACCATATAATACTATTAAATATTTAAGTAGGGATTGGTAGTTTTTATACTCCCAGATGCTTTACTTTTGAACTAAAATAGTGGGAAAGAAGAAACCACTGACAGTTGGAAGTATGTTAATGACCTCAAACATGACCTTTTATCCTAAATACTAACTGCTAAGACAGACTTGAATCCATTATGTGCAGAAGTCTTGGTTACCCTGGAGGAAGGTCGACATAGAATTTGGCATGACTCAGTAAGATACATGGTTGTGATGGAAGCCCTTATACCATGTTTTAGTCTGTGTGATTCGTGGAGTCATAAGAGGATACAGTGTTGATTTTAGAAGAAAATCCCAGAAAGCTGCTCTTTCCCTCACTTTCCTTTTAGGAGTGAAACTTTGTGAGACTTTGATTAGAGTCAAGATACCCTTCTATGGATAGCCACAAATCTCATGAAACTCTTCCATGTGCCTAAGATTCTAAGTGTGGTGGCTTCATGCCTGTAATCCCAGAGGCATGCATGGGGTGAAGACAGGAGGATTATAAAAGTTTAAGGTTAGACTGGGCCACAAAATGCGACCCTGATTCAAATCAAGTATATAAACAAACCTAAATGCATCCAGGTGACTGTCTAGAAACTAAGAACTTTCTGTTGATGAAAATTCTGTCGTAATCATGTCAGAGTACTAGCCCTCCTGTTTACCACAGACTGCCAGGCCAGCATGGGGTGCATTTTGTTATCCTTCACAGACATTTCTGGAGAGGCCCCGCTCAGGTTCCATCAGTAGCTAATGTTTCTCCCCGCTTCACATGGTAAAGTCTAGAGCTGCAGTCACTTTGGTTGATAATAACCATTTGGGATGACACACCATCCCAGGAAGGAAAGTGAGATGTAACAATATGTGAAGCTACCTCCCTGGAGAATGTGGACCTAACTTTGCTTTTTGTTTTCCTTTGTACACATGTGTGCCTTTGTGCCGTGCATTGAGTTTCTCTCCATTTAATTTGATGTTGGCTGTCAGCTTGCTGTATATTGCTTTTATTATGTTTAGACACGTTCCTTGTATCCCTGATCTCTCCAGGACTCTTATCATGAAGGGGTGTTGTATTTTGTTGAATGCTTTTTCAGTATCTAGTGAGAGTATCATGTGTTTTTTTTTTCTTTCAATTTGTTTATATGGTAGATTACATTGATAGATTTTCATATGTTGAACCATCCCTGCATCTCTGGGATGAAGCCTACTTACTTGATCATGATGGATGATTTTTTTAATATGTTCTTGGATTCAGTTTGCCGATATTTTATTGAGTATTTTTGCATCAATGTTCATGAGGGAGATTGGTTTGTAATTCTTTCTTGGTTGAGTATTTGTGTGGTTTCGGTATGAGGGTAACTGTAGCCTCATGAAGAGTTTGGCAATGTCCCTTCTGTTTCTATTGTGTGGAACAATTTGAAAAGTACAGGTATTAGTTCTTCTTTGAAATTCTGGTAGAATTCTGTGCTGAAACTATCAGGTTTTTTTTTTTGGTTGGGAGGCTTTTGATGACTGACTGTTTCTATTTCCTTGCAGGTTATAGGTCTATTTAAATTGTTTATTTGGTCTTGATTCAATTTTGGTATGTGGTACCTATCCAGAAAAGTGTCCGTTTCTTTTACATTTCCCAGTTTTGTGGAGTACAGATTTTTAAAGTATGATATAATGATTTTTCTGGATTTCCTATGTGTTTATTGTAATGTTCCCCTTTTCGTTTCTGATTTTATGATGGATGTTCTCACTCTGCCTTTTGATTAATTTGGATAAGGGTTTGTCTATCTTGTTTTTTTCTCAAAGAACCAGGTCTTTGTTTCATTGATTCTATTGTTTTCTTTGTTTCTATTTTATTGATTTTTCAGCCCTCAATTTGATTATTTCTTATCATCTACTCCTGCTGGGTGAGCCTGCTTTTTTTTGTTCTAGAGCTTTCAGGTGTGCTGTTAAGTCACTAGTGTGAGATTTCTCCACTGTCTTTATGTAGGCACTCAGTGCTATGAACTTTCCTCTTAGCACTGCTTTCATAGGGTCCCATAGTTTTGGGTACTTGTTTCTTCATTTTTGTTGAATTCTAGGAAGTCTTTAATTTCTTTCTTTCTTTTCTCCTTGGCCCAAGGGTTACTCAGTTGAGCACTGTTGAATTTCCGTGAGATTGTAGACTTTCTGCAACAAGTCTTGTTGAATTCTAACTTTAAGCCATGGTGATCCGATAAGATATTGGGGGTTATTCCAAATTTTTGTATCTGTGGAGGTTTGCTTTGTTACCAAGTATGTGGTTACTTTTAGAGAAGTTTCCATGAAATGCTGAGAAGAAGGTATATTCTTTTGTATTTGGGTGAAATGTTCTATAGATGTCTGTTAAGACCATTTGAGTCCTTATATCTGTTCTCTTATTTCTCTGTTAAGTTTCTGTCTGGTTGACCTGTCCATTGGGGAGAGGAGGATGCTCAAGTATCCTCCTATCAGTGTGTGGAATTTGATATGTGATTTAAGCTTTAGTAATGTTTCTTTTTAAATATGTGGGTGCTCTTGTATTTGGGGCATAGATGTTCAGGATTGAGACTTCATCTGGAAGGATTTTTCCTGTGATGAGTATGAAGTGTCCTTCTCTGTTTGAATTTTATTTTGTTAGCTACTAGGATATCTATACCTGCTTGTTTTTTAGGTCCATTTGGTTGGGAAATCTTTTCCCAACCCTTTACTCTGAGATGTTGTCTGTCTTTGATGTTGAGGTGTGTTTCTTGTATGTAGCAGGATGGATACGGTTTTCATATCCATTCTCTTAGACCGTGTCATTTTATAGGTGAATTGAGTCCATTGATATTAAGAGATATTAATGACTAGTGATTGTTAATTCCTGTTAATTTTTGATGGTAGTATTTGTGTGTTTCCCTTCTTTGGCATTTGCTGGTGTGAGGTTATTTGTTGCCTGTGCTTTTGTGGGTGCAGCTAGCTTCCTTTGGTTGGATTTTTCCTTCTAGTACTTTCTGTAAGATTGAGTTTGTTGATAGGTATTGTTTAAACCTGGTTTTATCATGGGACATCTTGTTTTCTCCATTGATGGTGATTGAAAGCTTTGCTGGATATAGTAGTCTTGGTTTGTATCCATGGTCTCTTAGTGTCTGTAGCACATCTATCCAGGACCTTCTGGCTTTCATGGTTTCCATTGAGAAGTCAGATGTAATTCTGATAGGTTTGCCTTTATATGTTACTTGGCCTTTTTCCTTTGCAGCTCTTAATATTCTTTCTTTATTATGTATGTTTATTGTTTTGATTATTATATGGCAATTTTTTTCCAGTCCAGTCTATTTGGTGTTCTGTAAGCTTCTTGTACCTTCATAGGCATATCCTCCTTCAGGTTTGGAAAGTTTTCTTCTATGATTTTGTTGAATATATTTTCTCTGCCTTTGAGCCAGACTCCTTCTTCTATCCCTATTATTATTTTCATGTTCTTCCAGATTTCCTGGATGTTTTGTGTTAAGGAGTTGTTGTATTTAACATTTTCTTTGACCAATGAATCTATTTCCTTTACCATATCCTCAACTCCTGAAATTCTGTCTTTCATTTCTTGTATTCTGTTGGTGATGCTTGCCATCTGTAGTTCCTGTTCATTTACCTAGATTTTCTATTTCCAGATTTCCCTCAGTTTGTGTTTTCTTTATTGACTTTATTTCAATTTTCAAGTCTTGAACTGTTTATTTCACCTGTTTGGTTTTTTTTTTAAGCTTTCTTTAAGAGATTTATTGACTTCTCCCAATTTTTTGACTTTTTCTCCAAAAAAATTTTCTTTAAGAAATTTTTATTTTCTCTTTAAGGGTCTCTATCATCTTCAGAAAGTTATATTTAAGGATATTTTCTTCTGCTTCTTCTGGGCTTAGGATGTTCAAGTCGTCCTTTTGTAGGACCACTAGTTTCAGGTGTTGCCATTTTGCTCTTTGGGTTGTTGAATGCATTCTTGCATTGGCACCTTCCCATCTCTTCCTCCAAGGGGTGCCTTTGGCTTAGGTGGTCACTCTTTTTCCAGGTGCAGGCAGGGCCTTGCCTCTGATAGTCATTACTGAGGCTCTGGGGGCTCCTCTCCAGGTGCAGTGGGGGATGTTTGCGGGTGTGGGGAGGCTGATTTGAGGTCTGTGGGGTTCGGTGGCTGGGGGTGGGGGCATGGGATGTGCCTGGGAGCTAAGGTCCAGAGAGCTAGGCCCTCCAGCTGGGAACCTCTTCAGGAACAGCCCGGGCTAAGGCCCAGCCTTTTTTTTTTTCTGGCTTTAGTTTTTTTTTTTTTTTTTTTTTTTTTTTTTTTACATTGCAGATACCCTCTGTCAGATGTATAGCTGATAAATACTTTTTCCAATCTCTAGACTCCCTTTTTACGAGGTTGATAATGTCCTTTGCTTCTTAAGAGAAATTTGTGTCAGGTGTGGTGGCACACACCTTTAATTCCAACACAAGGAAGGGAGAGTCAGGCTGGTCTCTGTAAATTCAAGGCCATCCCAAGTCACAGGGAAGTAATCCTGCCTCAAAAGACCATAAAATTTAAAAAACAAACAAAAAAGCTTTGTTTTTGAGAAGGGGGTCTCCCAAATGCTTGGATCGAAGCATGTACCATCACACCTGGCTAAAACTATTTTTTTATTAATTAAATTTATTTATTTTACAACATGACCACAGTTTCTTCTCTCTTCCCCTTCCCCCTTCCTCCCAACCCACTCCTTTTTAGTTTCTTTTCAGAAAGGGCCAGGCCTCACATGGATCAACAAAACATGGTGTATTAAGTTGCTGTAGGTCTAAACACTCTCCTCGTATTAAGGCTGGGCAGGGCAACCCAGTGTGAGGAACAGAGTCCCAAAAGTCAGCCAAAGCATTAGGGACAGCCTCTGTTCCCACTGTTAGGCTTCCACAAGTATACCAAGCTATGCAACTGTTACATATATGTAGATAGCCAAGGTTAGATCATGCACGCTCTCTGGTTTTCTCGATTCAAACTCTGTGAGCTCCTGTGAACTCAGGTTAGTTGATTCTGTGGGTTCTCTTGTGATGTCCTTGACCTCTCTGGCTCATATTTCCTCCCTCTCTTCAGAAGGATTCCCCAAGCTTGGCCTTAAAAAAAAAATCGAGTATCAGTGGAAAATAACAAATAACAATGCGCAGAATTAGTGTAGTATATTGTAAAATTGAAAGACAAGAGCCCAGGCCTCTCAGAGTCTTGGATGCAGCCATGCTGCCAACAAGTCAAGCAACTGTAGCAGAGTCATTTATAACCAGAGCCTAATTTCTTTATGTGTAACATGAGAAGATTCCATGAGAGAGTAATCGCATTCCTACCTGACCCCAGAAGTGGCCTCCGAAGGCCAAAGCCTGCCTTTGCCCTTGCAGGGACCTTAACCATCCTACATGGAAAACGCCTCTCTTGAGAAAGTCCTGTCCATTTCAGAGCAACAGTGGCCTTTAGACTTGCCGTCTAGATGACAGTGATCAGTCCTGGGTTTGGTAATGGTATCCTGAAGTGGAATTAGAGAGAAAGGGTGAGGAGGTGACCGTTGACAGAACTTCCAAGCAGGAGGTTTGCCCACTGTAGCAGAGTCTGTATCACAGTTTTGTTGAAACACAAGGTTGCAAAAATATTAGATACAATAATAAATGGAAATAAACTGGAAGCCTGGACACTTTGTAACCGTCAGAGACTTCTGGATAGTTCTGGCTTAGCTCCTGTGTCTGTGGCCTCAGGCCGGCCATTTGCCCGTTTTCCAAAGGTCCCTCAAGCCGCCCAGCAGACCTGACCCTTTCAGGCTCCTGTCTCTCTCCTTCTGTAGTCAGCTTTCTTAGTTGCTGGTTGCTGGTCAAAGCCTCTGACAACGATTAATTTGATGGGAAGAGGTAAGCTTGGAACCTTCCAAACCAGAAATCTGCTCTCTCCTGAAAAGTCCTTTCTGCACAGTGGTCAGCAGAGAATGAGCTGTTTCCTGAGTTCTCCGTTCTGTGCTCCTTGAGGTGAAGAACAAGCATGTTGGGGATAGATAGCTCACCTTCCTTGTCTGCTGCATGAATACAGCTCCTGGCTTGCATTGCTTGTCCCTGCTTAATTTCTCCACTCTACCAACTGTGTGACAGTTCTCTATTAAGTTATCTCTACTTACTAGAGCCTGCCCTGTCCTCTCTTTATTTATTGGGCTTGGATGATAGAGGAAAACCATCATCCTGCATGGTCTTTCATATATCGTATGGACGTCAATCACAATGACGTCAATGAAAGTGGGTTCTCTACAAGAACTAGTAGCTTGTTCATTTACACTGTAATTTAAGCTGATTAATTGACATTCGTCATAACTCCAAAACCAGAGTCTCATTCTTTTCCTCAGTTGTTTTCCTGAGAGTCAGTGGTGTGCCTTCTCTGATGTAAGAATGGGTTACTCTGGTTTTGTCGGTCTTTGCCATCTCTGTCAATTGTGATTTAATCATGGAAAGGAATTCTGCTTAGTTTGGGAGGGTTTATACTTGGAGTGACTGAGTCCTAGCTCTTGCTGTTGGTTTCATACCTTGCTTTGCTAATAAGCTTATTACTACAGTCTTCCAAGCCTGGCTGCTGTGACCTCTGCCATCCTGTTTGTGCCAAGCCCTGTTCTTGGCTTCCACACAAGGATCCCACAAGGGCTCCATCTGAGAAGGCGGTTTCCAGGACTGGGAGGGTGGGTCTGCTTGCCAACACTGGCTTTGAGACCACTGCTTGTTTTTCCAAGATTAATAATCACAGAGATCTCCAGCCATGTTTTCTTTTCCAGAATACTTTCCAAAAAGTCAGTAAGAATGTCTCTGAAGCTTTTTTCCTTTGAAGGCAGAAATGCCTAAGGGGAGCATAAATTACAACTTTGCAGAATAGTATTTAAAACCATATCCAGATTTTTTTTTCTTAAAACACACACACCACACCACCCCCAACAAACACACATTTTCACATATTTGATTCATTTGGGAGGAATTGACATAGCTGGCCCTTGGCGTGTTCCGTTTCAATGTGCCTAGAGTCAGCTCTAAAGCCTCCTGTGTTTCTTCTTGGAAAGGTCACATGACCTTCCTGCCATGGTGGTGAGATAAATGACGACTCATTTTACAGATTCTTCCCTTCTCTCTTTGTCTTTCCTCTACAGGCCGTGTGTTTATACTATGGGATCCCCCATCAACAACAGGGCCCTTTTTCCATGCCAGGAACCACCGGTTGCCATGTCAACATGGCAGGCTACAGTTCGAGCAGCTGCATCTTTTGTTGTTTTAATGAGTGGGGAAAATTCTGCCAAGCCCACACCACTTCGAGAAGGTACTGTACATGTGTTCTGTCTATTTGGGTGTGACGCACACGCTGGACCCAGGGACCCATCAACTGTGCTATAGCCTCTGAGGGAGCAGCTTTCCTAGTGAGATTGGAACAAAACCCTGTCAGACAAAGCACAGGCTTGCAGGGGGAGGGCCACTTGGGAGTCTGGGCATGGGTTTCCAGACTGTCTGTGCCAACGTTACCAATTCATAGTTGATTCCAGAGTCATCCTTACCTGGTGGTTTGTGGAGCAAAGTGGGTGGTCTTGGTTGAAGACTTCATGGAGCGGCAAGCATGGCCGTGGAAACACATTAGAGTCGAGCTGTGTGTGCTTTGGACGTGGTATCTATATGCGGTTGCCTGTTTTTCTGAGAGGCAGTACTCAGGCCAGCCAACTTGCTGGGCTTGGAAACCTGAACCCAGGGTGTGTCAGGATGGTGGCGAGAGTCACCCCATCACCTGGGTTTCTTGCATGGCGCTCTCTTGTTTTGTTACCACTGTCCATTTGATGTCTTCAGCACGCTGATGCCAGGAAACAGTACTCAAAAACCAAAGTGAAATAATTTGGAAGAATGACTCCTACATTGTTTCCCACCCCACCCCACCCCCGTCCCTCAGAGCCACGTGTGTCAAGAGGCGCTAAATTGTGACTACGCGTGCAGCGCCATCTGCTTCTTTTGTTAACACTACACTGAGTATTTCAGGTTGCCATGCACTTTAGAAACATAATTCCAAACATCAGCGGCTTTTATAGTCTGAGCGCATCAGAACCTGCCTGACTCTTGCATTGGCGGGTAGTTTGATCACCAGATTGTTTTCCTGTTATCAATACGGTTGTATTAGGTTCCCAAGGAGGTGACTGGATGAATGAATGGTGGTGGGTGTGAACCGGGGCAGGTCGAGGCTGTGTCATGTGACCCACAGTATTTTCCAGGTCATGTCACCTTACCTAGTGTCCTGCGACCTTTGAAATGGTGCCCGTGGGGAAGGCAAGGGTCCTCCTTTAGTTTGATAATCTAAACCATTACCTGTTTTCTACACGGAGAGGCTCAGGGTTGCTGAATTTATCCGTTCTGATTTGAGGTATCTGCTTCACCGTTGGTTAGACTTGTTGCATATGTACCAGATTCTTGAGTTTAATAATTCTTTTAAATGTAGAACCTTTAGATAATATACTTACAAATGAAAAAGGACATAAAAGTCTTTTTATGTTGCTTTTTAAAATCTGGGGTGGGGTTGACCTTTTTTTTTTCTATTTATTTATTTATTTAAGATTTCTGCCTCCCCTCCACCGCCTCCCTTATCCCTCCCTCTCCCTCAATCAAGTCCCCCTCCCTCATCAGCCAGAAGAGCAGTCCGGGTTCTCTGCCTTGTGGGAAGTCCAAGGACCTCCCACCTCCTTCCAGGTCTAGTAAGGTGAGCATCCAAACTGCCTAGGCTCCTACAAAGCCAGTATGTGCAGTAGGATCAAAACCCAGTGTCCTTGTTCTTGACTTCTCAGCAGTCCTCATTGTCCGCTATGTTCAGCGAGTCCGGTTTTATCCCATGCTTTTTCAGAACCAGTCCAGCTGGCCTTGTTGAGTTCCCAATAGATCATCCCCAATGTCTCAGTATGTGGGTGCGCAAGAAGATGAACCCAAAGAAAGACATATAGTCATCCTCCTGGAGATTAACTTTCATCAGGCGATGAAAGCAGACAGAGACAGAGACCCAAATTGGAACACCGGACTGAAACCCCAAGGTCCAAATCAGGAGCAGAGGGAGAGAGAGCATGAGCAAGGAACTCAGGACCCCGTGGGGCTGACCTTTTCATTGCAGTCTGTTTGAGACAGCCTTTGTCCATGCATATACCATTTCTTTAAATTATTGGAGAATTTTATACATGCAATATGTATTTTGATCAAGTTCATCCCCTCATCCCTTACATCCAATTCCTCCCCACCCCCGCTTTTCCCTCCCGTTGTATCTGTTTAGAGCTACGGTGTGTGTATGGGTGTGGGACCATCCACTGGAGCATGGACAGCCACTCGGGGGCTGCATCCCTGAAGAAAAGGGACTTTCCCTCTCCCAGCAGCCATCAGTTCCCAGAACCTCCTCAGCTAAGGGTGGGACTCCATTTGCTCCTCCCTGATCTGTGCTGGGGATTTTGACTGGCTTGGTCCAGGTTTTGTCAGGTGCTATGAGTTTCTGTACGCAGCACTGACGTGTTCAGCAAATACTGTTTTGCTGCAGACATCCATTTTTCTGGCTCTGCAATCTGTCCTTGACTTCTTCCAAGAAGACCCCTAAGCCTTGAAAGAGGGGCTGTGGAACGATGTCCCATTTCTTATTCTGTGCACACCGACTGGTTGAAAGTCTTTGCGCTGTAAAAAGATGCTTCTCTGGGAGGGTTGGCAAATGCATTGGTCTATGTGCTTAGGAGCAGTGTATTGCTGTTTAGCAGAATGATAGTACTAGATTCTTCCATAGGACCTATGACAGCCGTCTTGGGTTTTTATACCAGTTAAAGGTATTAGGCATGGGTTGCATTTTGTGGAGCAGGCTTGAAATCCAGTCAGGAAGTGGTTGGTTGCTCCTACAACATTCATGACACTCTTACAGCCATGAGCATCTTTCCATGTCACAGTTGGACTGTAGTAGCTCACAGGCTTCATACCCTCCAGCACTGTGAAAGCTATCCAGCAGGAATGAACCTTCCAGACCAGTACCAGCTTGATTTTGCCATGCTCTACGACTCAGGTATGTAATATCTTTAGCAACATGGCCTTACCATAAAGTTCTGGAAGGTAACTGAGATTAATAACAATCGCCTGCTCTGTTAACGGCAATCTGTGGGACTCCACTGACAGCTCAAAGAGAGAGAACCCATTCTAGAAGTGCACTTTTTATTTGATAGTCTGTGGTGTCTGGGAGGAATAATGTTCCCTGTTTTAGGGTAACTTCCTCTAAACCTCTTGTAGAAGATACATATTTCACATACATGTACAATATACATACATACATACCTACATATGGAGATCCTGCAGTAGTAGTAGGTTTCAGTGGCGTTTTCACAGGTGTTTCCTGTCCCTTCTCCACTCTGCCCTTCCTCTCTCACCACATTAACCCTTCTGTTCCCACATTCCTTTTCCCTCTTCACGCTTCCTGCGTTCTGTCCTCTTTTCCTTGATGTCCTCTCCCATGGCTGCTTACTGGTTTCCTGACATGTGTGGGTACGCTGATTTAGGCACACGCATCTGAATGTTCCCAGCATCCACACAAGAGAAAGAGCTGAACTTGCAGTGTTCGTGTTTATAGGTCTGTTACCTCACTCAGGATGGTTATTGATAGTTCCATCCATTTACGTGCAGATTTTACAATTTCATAGTTTTTTACAAATGAATAATCCATTGTGTAAATATACCACATTTCCATTATCCATTCCTCAGTTGATGGACATCTGTGCTCTCTCCATTTTGTGGCTATTATGAAAGAGCGGCAATGAACATGAACAATCAAGTATTTCAGTAGTAGGGTATAGGGTCCTTTGGGACTAGTTTTGGAGGTGATTCAGCTGGATCATATGGTAGATCTATCTCTAGCTTTTTGAAGAACCGCTACACTTATTTCACAATGGCTACACCAGCTTTCTCTCTCACCTTTTCCCTCAGTTGTCTTTTTTTTTTCTTTATCTTAGCTATTGTAACTTGGGTAGGATGAAATATCAAAATAGTTTAAATTTATATTTCTCTTATGGTCAAGGATGTTTAAAATATTTCTCAGCCATTTGTATTTCTTCTTTTGAAAATTGTGTTTAAATACATGCCCCAGTTGTAAGTTAGGTACAAACCTCCCATTTGGTGTTTAGCTTTTGAAATCTTTGTATATACTGGACATTAACCCTTTGTTAGATGGATAGCTGGTAAAGGCTTGTTTCCCATTCTGTAGGCTGCCTCTTTGCTGTACAGAAACATTTTAGCTTCATGAGGTCCCATTTCTCAATTGTTGGTCTCAATGCCTGTGCTACACGTTTTGATATAGGGACTCGTGTCCCCTCGGCTACCCTCAGACTTGCTATGTAGTATGGTGTAAGCAAAGCGCTCTATAAGCTGAACTCTGCCCCAGCCCAGTACAGGTCCCTTCTTACTGCCCTTCCCCAGCTTCCTGACAACCTGCCTCAGAGGCACCTCAGCTCCTGGCCACACTCGCTCAGCTTTTGTCTTTCGCGGAGTGAACTGCACGTGTGTGCGCTGGTCTTCCTTTAGAGCCGAGGAAACTGCACGTGTGTGCGCTGGCCTTTAGAGCTGAGGGAACCACACATGTGTGCGCTGGCCTTCCTTTAGAGCCGAGGGAACTGCACGTGTGTGCACTGGTCTTTAGAGCTGAGGGAACCACACATGTGTGTGTGCACTGATCTTCCTTTAGAGGATCGGGAAGTTTAATACAATCTGGGATTCAAATGCGTTTTCTTCTATATTTTGCTTTGTGTTATATCTTTCAGAGGTACTGTTATTGTTTTATATTTCACCCAGTTTCAAATTATATGTTGAATAAATGTTTAAACTGATTTTTTATTCTTGATCTCGTAAGCTTAAATGTTTTTCAGTTGTTTGAGGAAACAATTTTAAAATTTTTTTCTCTAAAAGTGGGTTTATTCTCTCTCTCTTTTCTTTTGTTTCTTGAGACAGGGTTTCTCTATGTTACATTACAGCATTAGCTGTCCTGGAACTCACTCTAGACCAGGCTGGCTTCGAACTCGCAGAGATCAGCCTGCCTCTGCCTTCTGAGTGCCAGGATTAAAGGCGTGCGCCACCACCCCCAACCCTATAGTTCATTTTTTAATGTCCTCCTATTCTTTGATTGACTGTGAAATGTGTTCACTTATGAACAATTCTTGACTTAGATATTAACTTTTTTCTTCAAGTAAGGACTGGATGAGGATGCTGGCTGTCTTTGAGCATCTCTGACCTTTCTGCCTCTGCCCCCAGGTGCTGGCACGGTTCTGTAGACTCCACACCCAGCCC